CGCCATGGAGCAGGGAGGTTTGCAGAAAGATCTAGCTTTTCATGTATTATCACCAGCACTATGCTCACATCGCTACAGTCACACGGGAACAGAGTAGGGACCTGGCAGCTTAAAGACCATCACTGCCCAACCAAACTGAGAAGGATACAGTTTCACCATGAACTACTGAGAAATGATCCGCACCCCAGAGCAAAGCGTTAAAAAAAAATCAATTAATTCAAATTCAAATTTATATTTATTTATAGATTTGTTACATGTAAATACTAAATAAAACGCGTTGCAAGTAGCAATATAAAAGCAGGCAATAAGACCAGAAGTTACAATGATTATTTGATGATTTTGCACTCATTGAGTTTCTCTAATAAGAAAAACACTTTTACAGTGGAGAATTTAACACAACACCAAACTGAAATAAGTTCATGGATATCATCTAATTGTCTATAGATTGCATACAGCTTCAGGAACTATTTTAGTGTTTTGTTTCTACATATTTTCTGCTTTTTGCTTTGCACTTAATAAGCAAAAGGATCATAGCAGATGAGGATTACTGCGTCCATTAACTTGACTTAAAAACTAAAAAAGGGTTGGATTTTTGTGTCTGTACTCGTGCCATTACATGATTTTAAACCAAAACGAAATCGCTCAATCAGTGGTTTTGAGAAATCCATTTTTCTCCAGAGACAGATGGAGGTTTTGGGTTGGTTTTTTTTTTACTTTTACAGGACTTCTTATGTGTCTGCCCTGTGTGATACCAACATGTCTCAGTCTCTGCCGCTGTAGACCTGCCGTTATGGGGTTAAAAACTCCCTGCTGTGAGTTTGTCATTTGGGTTGTATTTTTCTTCAGTCCTCGGGGATCTAACACTCTTAATGCAGAGCTATCACCAACAAGCATTTCCCATTATTTCCCATCTCACTCACGCTCTCGCAGAAACCCACACATGCGCTCGCACACCATGCTGTGTTATTACTGACAAGTATTTCCCATTTACTTGAAGATGAAGCAAAATAACAGTTTTGTGGAGTTCCACCGCCCTTTTAACCTTGCACCTTCGTGTGCAAATGCACACATGTGAACGCTCACACGCCTCCCGTCTGCCTCTTTTATCGTTACTGCAGAGTGACAGCAGCCTTTTCACCTTTTTATTTTTACTGACACGATTTATCTTTCTCAGCCTCTGCCTTACCTTCGCTCAGCTCTGCATTATCCCCCTTCTGCTCGGCCCCACCTCATTTCTCCTCTGCTCTCACTGCTCATTCTCTTTATCCTCCCCTCCTCTTGTCATATCTTATTTCTCCTGTTTTGCATTCGTCTCTCAGGGGGAATCCCTGTCACACCGTGATTTGTCATCCACAGCTCCTTTCCCGTTATGACCACCTCCCCTGCTCTCTCTTTTTCTTGAGGCATTTCTCACGATCTGATAGAAGATTAAATTCCAACACTCTTAGCACACACAGGCAGCTCACCGTTGTGCTGGTTTGTTGTTGTTGTTGTTGCCACTGCAGCTGCTAGGGTCTGAATATTTTAAGACTGTTAAGAAGTGGGGTTACTCTAGTACATACTACCTACCTATACGCGTACAGAGCTGGAGTAGCCGCACACAAAAAATGAGATGACAATAAATAAACTCACAGCTGGGATTCTTCAGGGTTGAATTAGTGCAAATTTTCTGGCTGAATGAATAATAAATGAGATTGTTTGTCATTTAGTGCCAATGGAAAAAGAATGACTAAAATATTTTCAGTTTCGATTTATGAGTAAATCAAATGGAATTGATTACAAAAAAACAAAAACACTTTGCTTCTGGATGATTGTCTTAGCTTTTTCTGCACACTGTGACAACTAATTGCTGATTTCTCTGACAGTAGTAACACACGCACTGGGAGTCGAGGTCAAATGTCAGATTACATACAAATCCATCATGGCACCAAATTTACTTCACGAGAGTCCAAGGAAGTTGGAAAGAAGCTGCTGAAGGGAGATTTCAGATATGCAGTTGACTGCAAAAAGTAACAGAATTCGTGCATGTGAGAAGCTCTAAATAAAATTTATGAAAAAATATTGCCTCCCTGCGACACTGTGGTTTCTGGTCTATATTAGCAGAGCCTGTCGTGTGAGGGCTGTGTGCAGGCAGGAGTGGTAGGAGGACCCAAAGTGCAGACCGTCTCGGACAAAAGGTGAATTTAAACTCAGATTCATTGCTAGATGGCAAACAGAGAACTAGCAAAACTGGGAATACAAATAATAAACTGAAGACAACAAATAACCTGAAATGGCAAATGGCCAGAACACACAGCAACATGCGAATAGATCACAACACAGACACAGAGAAACACAGGGCTTAAATACACAGAGGGAGCAATCAGGGAATGGGTAACAGGAGGGAAACACAGCTGGGGCAAATCAGGCCTAACGAGACAAGGGGAAGCAAAACCAGACACATTAACATCAGACATGGACCTTCAAAATAAAACAGGAAACATAACACAGACTGAACTAAAGACACAGACTCACACGCAGGCACTACAACAGAGGGAACAGAGACGTGGGACCAGGACAGACACAGACACTGACTGGACACGGGGATATCGCAGACAGGGGAGACAGCAACTAAGGATGCACAGAGACATAAACCATAAAAGAGAACTCTAACAAAGAAACCCAAGATTAGAAATGATAAATAGTATAATAAATTCAAAACCCTGGGTCAACGACCCAGGCATCCTAACAGAGCCATAGTAGCCTACCAGATATTTGTTATGAAAAAAATAGTAATAATAATAATATTAATAAAGGACCTAAACTCAAATAGTTTTTTAGATAATAGAATTTTAAAATGGCCCCTCAAAAAATCATCTAACACCTTTTATTAAATTGTATTTTTTGGAAACCTAATCACAGTAAAAATAAAAAAAAATTCAGACCAATTTATGCACATCAAGTGGGATTATTTTTTTCTTTTTTGTTTCATAATTTGATGGATTTAGATGGAATGACCCGAAAAGCCTTGATTTCTCTCACAGAGGAACAGCAGACACCAACCAGTTTTAAGTGACTGACAATCAACTGTTGTACAAAGCCACTTTCATGCTCTTCTATCCAACTAACATGTTGAAAGCAAATTTATCTTGACAAGACAAGGGTTTTTATTAAGTTATGCATCCACTCCAACAGAAATATCAGAATATGCAGTAAAACAGCACATTAGGTTTAATCAGCACCTCATCAGATCAGTGTTATCATTACTTACATGACTCAACGTGTCTCAGAAACAAAACCAAATTCCTGTTTTTGCACTTTTTTTGGCTTTCAATGCACAGTCACAAAGCATTTTATCATTAAAGGAATTTTACAAAACGATGGGTTAGAATGGGACTAGACGGGCAGAATGTTCACTTTCATTACTAATCAGATTGGCTTCGTAATATCTCTTCTCTCTTTTATAGACTGCCAACGAGAGCTCTTACAGCAAGTCTGAGAAGAAAAACCTGAGATTACCTCTAAAGTCCATCCACTGTTTTTCAAATCTTGAAACAGCTGATTTTAAGGTATTAGACCCCTGAAATCCTTGGACACAGATCTTTGAGCTGTAGCGAGCTCTGTGACCTCTGGGCAGGCAGCTTTTAGCTTTTATCCTCGCCACCTGTGAAACAGTCTGCCACAGGACCTGCGGGCATCTCAGTCTGTGCACAGTGTTTTACCTTCACAACGCTAACAGCGCTCTCTCACTTTTATTTCTTTTCTTTTTTTCAGAAAGGTTATAAATGTGTAATATCTGTTAACCTGATATAATGGGCTGCATCACTGAATAAGGTCAAGTAAAGTTAACACAATATCAGGAAGGAAATATTGTATTGTTTTTTTTCCTCTAATAAGCTCACACAGTCTAGACAGCAGTCAGTTGACTCAATATATGACTTCAGTGCTGAGGGACTCTTTGAATCAACACAGTGGATTTTCAGATTACGTCTAAAGATAAAGCAGAGCCTTTTGAATGAGGCTTTCCTCTCTCAAGTAGAGACGAGTATAAACCATGGGACCGAGAAGTAAACTAGCCTTTTGTGATTTGATCCGTCGGCCTCGACCACCTCGCTTTGAATGTGTGTCTTTGTTTGTGTAAGCCCTCGGGTGATAATGAAGGTCTTTCTTATGAACTTATATGTTTCACTTTCAAGTGTCACCAGGTTACATCAGATTTAATAAAGTCCTCAAAAGTTGCAGTTTTTGAGAGGCGCATCAGGGACATTTCAGCAATTGTCCCTTCTTCTTAAAGAGTATCAGTGCAGAAGAGTAAAAACTTTTGCATTTTTTCTTATTATTCTCTTTTGTCGTTATGCATAAAGACATGAAAGGGCCCTCACAGCTTAATCATCAGAAGCAGCACTTTAGGATCTGGATGTATAACAGATTTTGTTTCATTCTGAGCACCACAATTTTTGAAATTTCTCTTTATCAACAAGTATTTTAGCAAAAAGGCACAATTTCAGGAAAATATTTTAAAAAGACGCACTTGTAATGCATTCTCCACAAAGTCCAATACCCAGATTTTGTTATTTTAATTGACCCAGACCTACACCCAGATATTTAACCTTTTCTTTGCCTGTGTTCAAAGAAAGTTTCATGAATTTGGGCTCCGTAGACTTTAGTTTTATATAATAACATATTCATACTATGATTGAATGTCAAATATAAATCAACATAAGAAAAAAATATCTAACATTAGGAAAAAGTAACAATATTTATGATGACTATTATTATAATTTTCAATATAAAAGCTTGTGTTTGGTGACATTGATGTTACAGATGACACAGCTTTTAGTACAGTATGGATTACAGTCTTCAAAGCCAGTAATACTTTACAGCATGTTTACAGCAAAACTTTCATTACTTCACTTACAGTATTTTTTTAGCATGCACATCAAACTTGCTGATCAGAAATTCCTTTAAAAATCTTGCAAAGTCCTTCCTGACATGAGTAGGAGGAATACAGATGTGTGGTGTATAAAATCAGCAATAGCTGAATTCCATTTAGGTTTCTCAGTATCAGGGTTGTGGTGTGACTCGTGTTGGATCAGTGGTAGTGATATTAGTATCTAAAAGCCTGTGAAAAGGTGAGATATCAACTTAAAATATTATTGTCAATCGTGTTTGTCTTTTGTGAACTAAAATTTTTCTGTACAACAAAAGTTGTGTGCTTTTTGTTACAGTCACACTAGAGAAAACGGTGGTTGGAGATCGCAGAACGCCGCAAATTATTGTGACCGTGTGCAATGACCATGCAATTTTTCTGCCTTTAAAATGACTGACAGGGACCATGTCTGCACGCAGTCAGGTGCCATCTGACTGACATTAGAACAAATTTAATACGTCAAGACGGCAAAAAGAAAAGCAAAAGGACAGAGTCAGTCTGCTGTCAATTTATAACTGAATTAACAGAATCTGTGATTAACTGTCATAAACAGGTGGAAACTGAATCTGTGAGCCTCTACATACACAAAATTTCACATTAAACAGAAATTCACAATCACTACTTACATTCACAGTCCAAATATAATATAAAAATTCCTCCACAATTGGTGGTTTAGTTGCTGTAACATGGTGATTTAACTTCAAAATGACAGAAGTAACTGGGGATCAGTCCTCTTGGCTGAGGCTACCCAATGTACACTACACCCAACCAGGCAAGGTGTTGGCGTCCTGCCGTGAGGATACCTCGGGGTAGACCCAAGACACACTGGAGAGATTATATCGCTCAGCTCGCCTGGGAACATCTCGGTGTGGTAGGCCTGGGCTTCTCTTCTTAGGCTGCTGTCCCTGCAACCCAGCCTCAAATAAGTAGAAGAAGATGGATGGATGGATCAATGGATCGATGACACAAGTGCTCCCTAACTGAAATAAACAGGAGAAAACAGTGCAAGGAAAACAATAAGGTAGCTCACCCCTTCTGTTCCAGTGCTATTTACAATGTGCTATTTACAATGAAAACTAATGTACACACTATATACAGAACTGAGAAAAGTCGCACAAAGTCACAGGCACAAATGTCTCAGGTTTTGGAGGCCAGGGTCAGGTCTGCTGCTGCTGTCAGTGGCTGCCCAGGGACAACTGCTGGTGGAGGGATTTTGAATGCGACCACATGATCGCGGACCAATCGGCAGCCGTCAGCTCATCCACTCAGGGACCTGCAAAGACTTAAAGGCACAGACAAAGGAAAAAACCACCAAAACAGATTATCAGCAATCACCTTGCAACCAAAAGTGGCCAACCAGAGGTAGGTGGAGTTGCACACTTACCTTCTATGTGACCAGTTCGTCGCAGCTATTTGCAGTTGTTTACCAAATGCAAAATATTCAATGTAATCATAACGCAACCACCATTTTTTCCTAGATGCAAGGAGGTTACCATCATATGCTTACTGTAGTGTGACTGAACTATTTGTTTTTCAGTAATAGATAGGCAAGGGTTAGGGTTTATAGGAGTTATAGTACAATAGCACTATTTCATATATATACTTAAATATTTCTGCACCAATAAAGATTAATTGCACTAACAGCCCAGTATTTATTTAACATCTTCCACAGCACATTTCTGTGAACTGGAGTGCTGAACATCAGCCAACAGTTGTTGCATTTGGCCGCTGATTGTGCCGAACAAATATTACACCCTAAGGCACTGTTCTCGGGCTTCTTCTTGGCCATTTAGGAAAGATCACTAAAGTGTCTCGCACCAAACGTAGACAGTATGTCTGTGAAAAATCTGCTGCTAGTACCAATAGTGATCTGGAGACATCTAATTTATTCACCCTGCTCATCTACCCTCTTTTTCTCACTCTTATCAGATTTTTACTGACAAATGGTCCTTGTGGAGCTGCATTCTCTCTTTCTCCACTTGCAGGCGCTCTCTCTCAATCTGCAGCCTGCCAGCCTCAAACTTGATGAACTGCAGTCTCTCCTTCTCCAGCTGCAGTCTCTCCTTCTCCAGATTTAACTTCGCTGCCTCCAAGTCCGCCGCCGACACTCCCTTCTCCCTCTGTCCATCATGAGTTGAGGATAAGGACAAACGAGAGGAAAGGACTGGGCCTTGTTGCGGCGGCAGGTTAAAAGAAGAGTTGACGTACTCTGATTGGCCAACACGCATGAGTCTCAGCCTCTCTCTCTCCACATGTAACCTCTCCTTCTCTATTTGCAGCCGCTCTCTCTCCACCTCTGTCTGACGAAGTCGCTCTTTCTCCACCAATAGCCGCTCTTTCTCCACCACCAGGCGTTCAGTCTCCACAGCCAGCCTTTGTTTCTCTAGCTCCAGACGATGTTTCTCAACAGCAACCAGACACCCTGCTCCTATGTTCTCGTCACTGCTGAGTTCACCCAGCATTCCCATCAGGCCACCGGGCAGCAGTAGATTTCTGCTGGTGGTGGAAGTCGGATCCTTGGAGGGGCTGGGCATGCCCAAGTCATTGTGGGAATAAACATCAGTATCATGCCCCTCTACACGTGCCTCGATGTCACAAAGGAGAGAGGGAATATCATCATCATCCATTTCTCCATCTCCCACATCCCCGTCCAGCTAGAGGGAAGGAGAAAGAGAGAGAGAGTCATCATTTAACAGGTTTTCACACATGTGTGGATAACCAGTGGGGAGATCAGCAGCAAGGCTTTCAGCGCAGAACGCTGCAGACATCAGTGATCGCAGACATGAAATTGATTAAGTCAGACAGCATGAAAATGAGGAGCTGGGGTGCAAAGTGGCCTGCAGATGTGCATCAACTGTAGCAACACCTTAACTATTGGATGTGTTTGGTATCAGCAGGACGAGGAACTCCTCTGGGTCGGCATAACTAAAGCGAACGCCACACTTATTTCTAATTCTCACAGGAGACTCTGAAGCAAGCCTTCACAAATAAACCCAAAGAAAGATGCGCTCAAGAAGCACTGAGGTAAATGGGGGATCCTAATTTCTCCTGAGTTATTTTCTTGTTTTTATATAAATGATACAGCATTAAATACAGTCATGAGCTATTCTGAGTCATCAATCTGGATTTCTGGCTGAGAGTTTATCCCCAAATTATTTTTAAACTAAATCTCTGCGACTACATTTGATGGTTTCATGTGCTGAGCTGATTATTTCACGGTCTGCACACAAACCATCATCACTTCTTTTATTACTGCAGATTCTCTGGCTGATAATATGTACCGCTATACTAGATATCGTGCAGTTTTATATTATAAGGCAGTATTAAATCAACCAAAGACACAAAATACTGGAGAATTTTTGAGATACATAAATATCTATATTGGCAAAAAAAAAATTCACTCGCCCATCCAAATCATTGAATTCAGGAGTTCTGATCACTTCCATGGCCACAGGTATATAAATTAAGCACCTAGGCATGCAGACTGACTCTACAAACATGGCTCGCTCTCAGGGGCTCTTTGAATTCCAAGTCGAGTGGTGAAATTTCCTCATTAGTAAATATTCCACAGTCAGCTTTTAGTGGCATTATTACAAAGTGGAAGCAACTGGGAACGATGGTAGCTCATTTTACGTAGGCTACGTAAAATCACAGAGGAGAGCCAGTGGATGCTGAGGCGCATAGTACGCAGAGGTCGCCAACTTCCTGCAGAGTAAATCGCTACAGATCTCCAAACTTCATGTGGCCTTCAGATTAGCTCAGGAATAGTGTGTAGAGAGCTTCATGGAATGGGTTTCCATGTCCGAGCAATTCACATCACCAAGTGCAAAGCAAAGCGTCGGCTGCAGTGGTGTAAAGCACACCAGCACTGGTCTCTAGATCAGCAGAGACATGTTCTTTTCCAGGAGTTGGGCTCGGCCCCTTAAAATAGTGAAAAGAACAAGACATTTTGGACAATTTCATGCTCCAAACTTTGTAGGAGCAGTTTGGGGATGGCCGCTTCCAAGGTTGGATGGGCATCATATTAAACCCTATGGATTAAGAATGGGATTTTTCTCAAGTTTATATCTTTTTGAAGGCAGATGAATGAACACTATATAGCGTATACTGCATATACTAACTCTTTAGCTGCTGTAACAGGAAGCGTTGTCTCATAAGATAAGAGTGACCAGTGAAATTTGATCTAAAAGCAGATCTTAATGTAATCACAGAAAAGTAATATTTAAATGTCAGTCTTCAATTATATCCTAATTAATTAACACGTGCTTAATTTAATTTAGTCTCTACCTTGTGAACCTGCAGGAGTACAATCAACAGACTGGACTGACTAGAGACACTTGAGCTGCATAATGTGTATTAAGTAATGGCTGGTAAGGACATTAATTTGACTAATTACACATTAGCAACACTTGAATTTCAACATAGGCTGTTTGTCTTCTCATAATATTAGCAGCTCTGTATTAAAGAGCATATTTTTACAAAATAATCAGTGTGCATATACATGAAATGATGATTTAACAGACTCTAAGCTTTGATGGCTGCTCTACAGAGAGAAACACACACACACTGTTACTCTGTATTCACTGACATCGTCCTCCATCTTTACTCCCGGCAGTGCCCCCACGGCCTGCCCGCTCGACCCGCTGAGAGCCACCATCTCCGGCCAGTCACAGTGCCAGTCCTTTGGGAAGCCTGAGAGGTCAAGCAGCTGGTCACAACCAGATCCCAAAGAAGGCGCCTCGTGCTCTGGAGAGGAATTTCCATACTCAGTCTTAATGGCCAAAGAGGGGGGCGAGGAAGAGAGAGAGAGTTCAGTCTGCAACTGTTTTTTCTTCGTAAGCGCACGCCAGTCGAGGTAACGACGCTTCACCTGCACATCAGAAAGGGAAGGCTGCTTTAAAAATCACAACTGGGTCCACAGAAGCAACGATACGATCTGAATGGAGACAAACACACCTCGGCAGCAGTGCGTAGCTCCCCCTCTCCCAGGGCATTCACACCTTGTGCCACTTCCTCCCATGCTTGCCTCTTCAGCTCATTAATGGCTGTGTTCTATTAAAGAAGAAAGACCAGCAGTTAAACTGTTTCATTCAAAGAGGCAAATAATATGACACTAGTTTACTGAACGGAAAAGAAAGTGACTGCACAAATTAAATTCTCCTGTGCCATTGAAACTAATTACCCTCTCTTCATTGGGAAGAAGAAAGCGAACACTGGGGCAGAGTGTACACGTGACATAGTCAGCATGAAGTTATTAAAACATTTTTTCAACTCTGCCCTCTTAACCTCTTCTACTGATTTCATTAGGAAGATTAAAATATGACTGTTATGTATAAGCAGAAATGTGTCCAGGGTGCAACACACAGGACATCCTGCAGCTGAAAAACAGACATGTCAGTGCTCTCTAGTGGCAGCAACGGTAATGTAACCAGTTCAAACCTTGGAGTCATCGTTTTGTTCATTATTTACAGCCTCTAGATGTTTTAATTTAGACCAATATAAATTGGAGCTGACTAAACACAGGCGGGCGAGATGGCAGAATTATCTGAATGGTTTGTGCTGCTGTTTTTGTCATTTTCCGCACCTTGGTTTAGACTTCCGAGGAAAGAGAGCTGTGTATGCATTTTTCTGTGG